AATGAAAACCCCGAGCTACACCTTCCTCTTAAACCAAAGTTTTCCCGTCCTGAGTTTCCCACCCCCTTTGACAGGTGCCATTTATGTTTCCTTTAGCTTTTCAGGAGAGAAAAAACATTAAAACCCGACAAATACTATTTATTTGAATAGGCGAAAGTTAACCTTTAGAGCGGGGTAAGAAAGAACCATTTAAGAATTTATTTGGTCTTACTCATAAACGTTATTCAACAACTTCAGAAACACTGTTTGTAAAATTTCCAAATTAGTAAAGAATGCATTTTTCAAAGTAGGGCCAGGTTTATAAATACTTTACAACTTAAGAAAAACACATGTCAAATTATTGTTCACAATACATGAAATAAGATTGCACAAACATATGTACTGAGTAAAGAAAGGTTTTTTGCAACTTACTGCCCAAATTTTGTATGGATCGGTAAAGATTTTTTAAAGTTTGAAATGGTTTCGAAAAGATTGCATTTTAACTTGGAGATACAGTTAGATTACTATATTTGCACGGAGAAAAAAATTAAGGGCACTAAGCTCGGAACATGAAAAACCATGTAGCACGATTCCATTCCATTTTCAAGTTTATTTTGTTCTCAATGTATCTATTTTTTAAGAACATTTTAATCCGAATTAAATTTAATTTCCACTTAAAAACAATAATTTTATAATGAGTAATACGCATATATACTGCTGACTGGACCAATTATTTAGTTCTTACTTGAAACTGAGTTCTTGGTATAAATATAAATTTCGTTGTGCAAATGTATGGGTCAAGATGAACTTGCAAGAACATTAGCGGCGAAACACAGGAAAATAAATGTACAATACTAATTAATTTACAAAAGAATATTCCTAAAATGGTCAAACCAAATCTCAAGACAATTTAGTTTTAAATTATAATTTATCAACATGTACAACAAGTAAAAACTCACATGACAAATGACAGTTTATCAAATTATACTCGAAATAAGCACGCAATATAAAAAATGAGTCACTAGACTTCAAAACAACGATTTTAGCAACTGGAATTTTCGGTTATATTTCTCTCTCTTGAAATAAAAAACTTTTATTCGTTAAAATGGAGATTAAAACTTAAAAGCATGTGAATCAGAAGTGTGGCAGGCATCATGTCGAATTCCGTCATCATTTTTCTTCAAGTGCGCATTTTTTTCTATTGCACTCAATTTTTGGATCATTGTGCCACTAATAAGAACCAATGAGTGAGTGGTTGGAGCGGGAAACATGTGGGGGAGGTGCAGAAAGCAAATTGGAGCAGTGGAAACCCAATTCCATTCATAATAGCCCGTCAACAGGGCGAATTGTTGTTCATTTCGCTGTTATTATTTCTATTGTAAATTGATATCGCGAAACGAGTTGCAAATATGGGTGAATAAGAGAACGCCACGTTGATTGTTCGGTTGCCCTGCACTCCAAGTGCTCGATGTGTAATTATGGGATAACCAAAACTTAGTGTAAACAAAGTGGGAAACCGAACTGGAAATTATCCCAAAACCAATTGTTTTACACTTGGCGAACTTTTCGCTTTTGTAAACAGAGACGGAATGCCATCGCCTTCCCCCTAGTTGTGTGGCATCATAAATTCCCCTGACAACCAAATATGTACCTCGATGTGAAAATAAATAAAACCGAAGTAAAAAGTCGGGGGAGCTACAGAACATAAGAGTGGAAACGGAATGGTGGATTGAAGCCGAAACCATGGGCTTCGGACTTATAGCATGACGCATCCCATGGATGGAACAGGGAAAAGATACAGAAAGCAGAACCAGACTCTAAAAAAAGAAGACACAATCAGATGGCAAAATGAGCGGAGGACCCAAACCAGATGTGGGCAAACATAAATAAATAACACATTCGAAGCTAATCCCCATAATCAATGCAAGCGCGTGGCTGCTTATCGAATAAATTGAAGTGAGGCGAATGAATCAAAGCCAACTGCCAAATCGATGGGCAGAAAACACTCATCTAATGGCTTCAAAGTTACACTCAAATGGCTAATGCTTTTAGGAAGACATGTTAGCTGACTTTCCAGAAATTAGTCCATCACAAAGTAAGACTTTTAGCATTCATCTAAAAAACAAATTACAATTATGTAGGCCAATCCATTAAAATCAAACAAGCAAAAAACAGGCCATAAATATTTTGTGAAAATTTGTGGTGTACTTATACTACAGATTTATTGATTTTATGGTTCGTTATCACAGACAGGAATGTTGCAAATGAATTTACTTTTGTAATTAGGGAAAATACAAGGTCAATTAATCAACTATCAAAACTCCATCTAATCTGATAACAAAAAAAAAAGAAATGTTTCATTAAATGCAATATTTGTTTAATGTATTTTAGTAAAATCGTATGTATAACACCATTTTATATTCAATCAAATTAAACGCAATAACTCAATTTCGCATTCCAAAAATGCACAAAATAATTGAATTTCCGGCATTATTGGTTTTTTGAGATATGTGAAATTTAATCAATTTCAATTTCGTCAAAATTAATCAAATGGAAAACCGGCAGATTGCTGATAATTTATAGATTTCGATGGCCAACTGGAACGCAATAAATCGAGTTGAGGAAATTCCCCGACTCCAAAGGCTTTGCATATGGAAACGGGGAACTTAACCCTTGCCCTGCCGATGAGGAATATCATAATGTCTCTCCCTGCTCCCCTATAATCCCGCCCCTGGCAACAACAATTGCATTGTGCCACGCCTTACGCCCAAGGGCAACTTCGCTGGGGTTTCGGGGCATTTGTCATATTTCCATTCGTCGGACGGCAAAAGTAAACATGGTATAAAAAAGAACGACCCCAACGGAGAAGAGATGGAAAACTAAAATTGCGCATATTTTTGTACCGAGGGGAGGAGAAAGGGGCAGGGCGCTGAAAGGGGTTATGGGTGGAGGGAGGGTCGAGGAGCATGCGGTGGCAAACAGATGTACAAATGAGGGTCTGCAAGTGGGTGATGGGGAGATGCAATGCAATCTTGCACTGTGAGAAGAATAAAATACTATTTTACTTTCATGATTAAATGTATTCTAAATTTCATAGAACAGTGCATATAATGTAACTAATACCTACGATTGAGAATTATAACTAAAATACGTGCCCTTAACAACCTGCTTTTCGCAATTCAACTTAATAGAACTAATTCTGTCCTGTCACATCAAATATCAAGTTTTATCGGTTTTTGTTTTTTAACTTAATCAATTGTATCTTTCAATGGTATTTTATATTTTCTTCGCTACAATGAATGTTGTTTGTGAACATCACTAATATTATTATATACAAATAATAAATTAGTTAATCTCACTGACAACCAAATCTATGAATTCCGGTATTCTGATATTTTTGAAAAAATACAAAGAAAAGTATTCGGATAAACAATATGAATTTGTTTCTGTGCAGAAGGAATGCGAAAATTGCAGGAAAAAGTAAGGGATTCCAGGGCAACATTCTAACTCAGAGGCACACGCTTTCTTTGGCGTTTGTTTGATAGTGTTTTTGTGTGAAGTGTTTTTTTCTGGCATTAACATGGGATTACTACATTTCGCAATTCCCCACTCACCTTATAGACGTCGCCGTAGGTGCCGGAGCCTATTTTTTGGATGAGCTCGTACTCGTCCTGCGGATTTCTGCGGGAGATGTCCGAGCTGAGCAGATTGGCATTGTGGTGGTTGTGGGCGGCGGCCATCTTGCCAGCTTCCGTATCCGTTTGCCGTTGCCGTTTCCGCTTCCGGTTAGCCGATCGAGTCCTTCTTCGGAATCCCTCTTCGCTCGATTCTTTACTCTCTCTCTTCTTTTCGCACTCTTTTCGCCGCTTTTACTCGTTTTTGTTTGACTTCTTAGCACACGTTGCAGGCGAATCTCAGATACTTTTTGGGATCGAGATGCATTTTGGTCGCTTAGAATCACACACAATTACGTAAGGTTAACTGGACTTTGTATGTTTGGTATTTTTGCATAGATATATTACTTCAAGTGAATCGGATTCCGATCAGAGAATCTAAGAACAAACACACACACGAAATCAGAGAATCGCGAATAATGACGCAGACGGAAAAAAAGAACGATGAAAACAAAAAACAGCAAATAAGGCAGCAACAACAAATTTGATAAAAGGGTGGACGCGGAGGAGGTGGAGAAAGCGCGGGGGTGGGAGCGAGAGGGCGAGAGAACGTCTCGTTTTTTATCCCCTCTCTCGCTCGCTCTCTCTCTATATTCTTTATCTCCTCCTCTTCTTTGTTTCCCAATGCGACTGCACTTTAATTGTTATTTATTAGGATTTATGAAGAGCACTTTTTTTGCTAATAAAATGACCAAATAAATAAATAGTTGCTGCCGAATAAAAAACACACGCGACAACAACAACAACAACGCGAGGCGTGTCGCTTTGTCGCCCGACCGTGTTGTTGGGTTTTTAGTTTTTTTTTTGTAATTTTATTCCGAATTCGATTTGGCCAGGAGGGCAGCCAACGCGCAAGGTAAAAAACTACCCACCGTTCACATTTCACACGGACACGTGATTGCGGGGCGAATTCGGCCAGTGGATAATTAACAATTGTCCTACGAACGAAAATTTCACATCCACTTCGTCAACGCGCAGCCCACAAATGTTGTTGTTCCTTTCCTCTAGAGGTGGACGAAATTCGATGGAAACATCGATGCACCGATGTTTTTAAGATATTTGGAAAATCGATGATTCATGGCGACTATCGATACAGCGCCCTCTGGCGTTTCAATTGCAAGTCGATGCATCGATGTTTTTTGTTAGCTATGGCATTCGGACTATCGATACACGAGGCTCTCGCGCTAGCAGCTCTGGTATGGCGATTACGGTTTCGCAGATATCGATTTAATAGGGTGTTCAGACAGAAGGGCTTTCTGCATCAGCGACTTTTTTTATCGCATTTGCGGAAGGTTCAATAAATACTTAAAAGGCTCCAAAAGGTTCTAATTTATGCAAAATGTCGTGGCCTCACTGTGAAGTACGTCAGTCCGCACCTTTAAGAAAAAATCTGGTTAGCGCCAACATTTTCCGTACGATTTCTAGATATTAAACCGACTTTTGGTTCGACATGCCAACTAAAAAAATTAACTTAGTCTTATTGTTTTGTACAGCTGCAAGAAAAATAATAGCACCACTACGCTACAGGTTCTCAGTTTGAAAAAATATATGGAACGGTTTTTTAGAGAAGGTTTATGCAAGGTCAGAATATTTTCCAGTATTTTTGATAGTGTCTTAAGAGGCTTAAGTAATTACCGTGTAAGTACACTAGCATTCAATTAAAAGAAACCAAAAGAAGCTAATCCAATTAGAACTATTATTCAAATAATTGGTATGAACGTTTTTATTACATAATTATATAAAAATATTTATAAGTGTAGTCAAGTTTGGTCTAACCATTTTCTTGCTTCATTAAATTCTATGAAGTATAAACACTATAAATAATTATTTAAATTATAATTGTTGTACAATTATAGAAGCATTTAAAATTTTCAAGTTGGTTTATCGACATTCTAGAATGTAATATTAAAATTATTATTGTATCATTTCACATTCGCAGTATTCCATCGTAGTTTAAGGAAATCAGTCATGAATTCCAAATTAATTATTGTTGGTGTATTTGTGCCTGTGTGTTTTCTAGTTTGCAGTGTAAGATGTCATAAGTATATGAAATATTATGAAAAAATAATTCTTATATTATAGGAGGCACCGTTTATTAAGCAAACAAATGTAATTTGTAAGTCCCACAACAAGTCGTGGGTCGTTATTCATTACTGTCAACTAAAGGCGTATTCACGAAACAAAACTAGCTTGAATTTAAATGTAACCCTTACAGAGCCAGCATACAACATTGACATTAAAGTGAAGATTATGAAAAGGGCTAATGGCTACAAGCCATTTCTGTATGATTTCACCATCGATCTCTGTCAGTTTATGAGAAAACGAAATCATCCTGTGATGAGAATCATCTGGAACATGATGAAGGACGTATCCACAGTGAATCATACCTGTCCGTTTGTGGTGAGAGCTCCTTTCGATGTTTTTATCTATCGAATTCAAAGCTTTCATGTTTTTTGTAGGGCTTGCAGTCGGTTAGCGATTTTCATGAAGTTTATATTCCACTTCCATGGCCAACTGGAGACTACTTACTGATATTAACTTATATATTCGATGGTAAGCCGCAGTGTACAACAAAACACTATTTTCTATATAAGGAAGATTTCTAATCAAAAAGCTACGTAAAATGTTTATAAATAAAGCGTTTTCTTTATCTTCCCAAAAAATGATTGTAATGTCACCGATGAAGGGGAACAGTGTTCAATACAGATAGTTATTCTTGGTACTGCTAACAGGATTAAATATATAGTAACCACAGAAAAGGAGATGATCGATTTTCTCAAGAGGTGTGGTTTAACAGATTTTTTTTATCTGCTAGAACCAATTGAGAATTTTAAGTACAAAAAGGATTGGTAGGAAATTAATTACAAGTACTGTCTCAACTTGGGTTTATATTTATACACACTTTTAAAATAAAAATTGTAACAAGCGATAGGGACTTCCACAACGGCTTTTAAATCTCGAAGCACTGCAATAATCAGCTGAAAAGTGGGGACTATTGTAAAAAATGCAATCATTTGAGACAGTCATGAACTGGAGGTCGCATCTGGTGGTTTTACTGGGAGTGCTGATAATCCGCTGTAGCGCTGAAAAACCCTGTGCTAGCCGGTGGAACCATCGAGGTATTCTGCAGGTGTAACAGTTCTACGGTGCGATCAGAGGATCTGAACATTGTGAATTGGCTAAACTACACAGTAGAAACGCAACCCGTCGACGAGTTTACCATCATGTTCAAAAAAGAGAATGTCGATATGCACTTTCAAGTGCATTGGTACTGCAGATATCAAAAAACGGAAGTGTCCAAGTACCGGGTGACAATAGTGCCTTTAATCCATATAGACGAATTGAAGTGTCATTTTCAACCAAACGAAACTGGTTTATCGTGCGACTTCAGCGAGGAGGGCTATCCAAAGTACGGTGGGGAAAAGAGCTACTTCTTGAGTGTTAATCAAATACCGCGCGTCCACTGCTTAAAAAAGACTCGCAGTAACACGATTCAATGCCCTAGCCTACCCTTGAATAGAACAACTAATCAGTACAAATTAAGGATAGATATGGAGTGCAAAGGATACAACCAGACAAAGGAGTTCCAACTTGGCTTCAAACAAGTCCTTGCGCCAGAATGGCCCACGGGTAGGCTGCATATCTCGCTTGATCACACCATACACCTTTGGTGGTCCGGAACTGACTATAGTGCCAAAAACTTGGAGTGGCGAGTCTGGTTTTTGCCACGTAACCCAAAAATTCAGAAGCATTTCATCCAGAGAAAAGTGCGATTTTCGGCTGTCCCTATGATGAAAATTTACCAACTTACAAGCCCATCGTACGCATATCAGACCTATAAGATGATTATCTCGCGACGCTATCCCTTTTGGGATTCTCCCTGGTCCTCCGATATCGAAACTCCCGAATTTGTAACGGAGGCAAAGTTACCCGATCGACCACCTGATATACTACCAAATGGATTCTTTTACGAAACGAAAAATCGGAATCTGTACGTTTATTGGCTTCAGCTGGACGAACTGGAGTTCAACGGACCGTATTTTACGTATTATGCGATTACGGAAAGAGGGTAAGTTTTTTTAACTCAAGAAGTAACTTAAAGTTAGAAAAGCATCCGAACCAAATCAATTTAAGCAAACATTGGCTTAATAGGCACTAGTAGAATCTATTTTAACTCTATAGCTTTAAAAATATGGGCTATACAGCGACTGGGTCCTAAATTGAACGCGAGATCCACCTAGTGGCTGTGACATTAAGTGCTTAGAACTTTAGATTGAACGGTTTGATTTACACGTTTACAAGAATTTCATTGGTATTAAAAACTTTATTCAGAGGCTTAGGAATCTGCATGTTACATCTCAACTCTCTAGCTCCTACAGCTTTCAATATATATAAGCGCTTCCTACTAGCTTTTACCAGTTTACTACGAGTAACAATAGTATCGGGGTTTTCAATAGGAGCGCTACAAAAATAAAGCGCTTCTTAAATAAAACCAAAATGGTTTGGGATATCAATAGAATTCTTTATTTCTATAAAAGTACATTCGATACCATTATGTATGAAACTCGATTTCTTTTGCATGGCCACCACGGGCACGCTTGCAAAAGTCCACACGATGAACCCAATTTTCGACGGTTTTCAAGCATAAATCGGCCGAAACTGCTGCAATTTCACGCTCGAGAATACTGATTTGGGTCTTCCTCAATTGATGCGCTAGCGGCAGCCATATTCTCAACACTACGGGCCTTTCTTTTACTCACTGGCAGGGGAACATTTTGTTTTTGATTCAAATTTTTCCACTATATGCTCAGTTGTCCAGTGGAAACAAGAGAATACGTTATAGTCGATAAACTCGACTATTAGATACCCTTTACTCAGCTTAAGGGAGTGCAAGAGGGATGGAAATGTGCTTAAAGAAGCTCTGCTTTTTACACTAACTAATTTAAATTTCTATAAAATATATCAAAATGTGGGCGCTTGACGGGTTTTAGTGTTACAATGGTGTGGGCGTTAGAGTGGGCGTTGTACCCTGCTGAAACAAACTTGTGCTGCGCAGGAAGTCCAAGAATCTACATGCCAAGTGTCAGCACTCAAGTTCTTATAGTTTCCGAGAGTATTCTTTATCTTCGGAAACGCTTCCTTCTAACTTTTACATACTTTCCGACTATTTCGGTAATATATTTTAATAATTTCCATTATAAATGACAAACCTTACTGAAGAGAAATGTCAAAAGAGAGGAAAAAATACGGCGTCGTGCTGTCCCTATCTACTTTTGTAGCGTCCCTATTGAAAAACCCGTTATTTCCAGCAAGACGGCAACGATCTTGAGCAACAACTCCGCTCTCTTTCGAAGCTGGGATGCTAGGCAGCCATCTAAGGTGACCGTATGGAGCCAGAATTCGAAGGGAAGGTCGTTAGAAAGCAGCAATCTACAAGTGCCTATTCTAACGAACTCAATAGGACGTCAGCCGAGGAATTTGTGGTACCACCAGGACAATCAGACCATATCCTGGCTGCCTCCAATTGATCAAAGTGAGCTTATTGGATACACCGTGTCGTGGTGCTCGGTTTCCATCAACAGTTTGCAGATCTGTGATGACCACGAGCTCATCCAATTTAAGGTCTTAGAGGAATCCCAGCATCAGTTCCAATTCAAAGGATCCATGGTGCTACCAAACGTGGCCGTGGCTGCTAATTATATTCACAGCACCAGCGGTGGAATGCAGTGGATCAGTCCCAGGTGGATGGGTCACCAGGAATACATAAGGACCTCTGAACTACCCCTATATATTGTGTTCGCTGTCGTCGCTTTACTTGGACCGATGTACCTTCTATTCCGGAAGCTTCGACGCATGACACAAATCGAAGTAGACATCCCTGATATTCTATTTAAGTCGATGGAGCCGACGAATGATCCGAAGTCAGATCCTTATATTAAAACTGTCGTTCCCGGAAACTTTCCTCCAAAAGCCGTAATTGATATCGCAAAGCTATCGGCCGGCACCTATGTCAAACCAGATCCCCAAGTAGAGCGCAATCCCTACGTGCGCATGGATGGAATGGTTCCGTAAAAAAATAGTACATACTCTAAGCTAATAAAAAATATTTTTTTGAGACTCATAGAATTTTGTTTGAAATAGTATAGTTTCGTTAAAATTCTTTAAGATTGTTTTAATTATAGCTCAATCACTATAAAAGTTTGCAAGTGAAAAATGAGTCACGGAAGTGCTACAGTTTTGTTCACTCAAATTGCGATAAGCTATTTTAAAACGAAAAGTAAATTGAATTACATTTTTAAGCTACAGTCATGAGTTGGAAACCGAATTTATTGGTACTTTTAGCGTGGCTTATTAGCTTCTGTGGGGCTCAGATACCATGTACTAGGAATTCTGGAGATGTACCACCACCTAAATTTACTATAACGGATAAACAGTGCTGTTTGGAATGGGAATCTGAGAACTGGAATAATCATGACGCTTATTTGGACTGGCAAATGGAGCTTCTTCCCCACAATCCGAAGATCAAGCGACAGAGGCTTGCGCCAAACGACGACGATTCCAACCTTGAAGAGGAATTATGCTTTAATATCCCCTCGTTCCCCTTCCAGAAATACGACTTGAAACTTTCGTGTAGCTACACGGATCGTCTTGAGCCTTGGACGGATGACTACTATCCGCTAACCTTTTCAACTTCGCCCGCGGTTCCGTTTCATCCACCGAAGTTTGTACCCAATGGATTTTTTCACGATCCCTTAAAGAGTCAGCTTTCCGTCTTATGGGTGCAACTAGATGAACTGGAGTTTAATGGGCCCAACTTTTCGTATGTCGTGACCACGGATACGGGGTAAGTCAACATATCAGTTTTAGAGTTTTCTCTCGATACATTGCAAACCATATTTTTAGTAAGAGGGCAGTCCTTCTGAGCAATAACTCCGCCATATTTCACGACTGGGACGCCACGCGTTCGTTTATCGTTTCTATTTGGAGCCGGAACTCTTTGGGACCATCGGAAGAAAGGAGCCAACTAAAAGTGCCCATTCTGACCCAGGCCAAAAGTCACCAGCCGCAGGAGTTGCGGTATCACGAAGACAACTTTACCATCTCTTGGCAGGCTCCTCAGGATCAGGGGGGTCTTATTGGTTACGTGGTCAGCTGGTGCTCCGCTCCCGAAAACAGTTCGCAGATCTGTGATGACCACTATCCCATTCATTATAAGGAACTGGAACCATCTCAACAGCAGCTCACGTTTGTTAGGCCGATCAGGTTGCACAATGTGGCAGTATCGGCCAAGTACAAAGACAGTTTTCTCGGTGGAAAGCCACTAGTCCTTCCAAGATTGGTAAGGAGCACCAACGAGACTTATAACCTGTGGTTAGGTTTTTATATTGGATTATCGGCATTGGCCCTCCAATTCCTGCTCTGTGTGATCCCCGTATCGGTGCAGAAATTACACAAATCGTCGGATAAATTATACCCAATGTCTTATGATCTCATTTTAAACGCAGATATCGAGCCTTAACCGCGACTTTTAAAATGTTTATCTTCTTTTATAAAGAAAATGTTTAACTAAGTAAGGTTTTTCTTGCGTTTCCTGAACTAGGGACAGAAAAACCGTACAATTTGTAATACCTTTTATAATATTTCCTTATTGTCGCTTACAACATTTAAGCGGTTAGGACTCAATATATTGACAAATGAAAGCACTCGATTTGATTTGATTTTATTTTGTACAATTATTATTCGTGTTTGTAGAAAATACAAAATATCAATGGGCTCGAGAACGTTGACACGGGGAAATGGGTTAAAAACGAATCCAAAGAACTTATTGCACATGTGTGTTGTGTTCGCGTGAGTGTATAAATAAATAACGTAGTATATCGATCATTTCCATAGCAGAAGAAGATAGTTTGCACAGCTCCTCCGTCTTATCTATGTAACTAGGGTACTATTTCGATTAAGGTTTCTCGGTTAAGGGCTGGATGGATCCGATGGGATTCTCCGGGGAATTCCCCTTTCACAGCTTCCGTATACTGCGATCTGCCGCAGCCGAATTAAGTTTGGTTCTGTGAAAATAAGAGATGAAAATCATTAGATTTGTCTAAGATTCCACAACACAATTAACAATCATATCAAAAAAAGCTTCAAACAGTATTAGGCCGAATCTCAACGAATAAACTGAGCCTTTAAGAGGAATTGCATTAGTATCGATCGGAGTGCGATCAAAACCGAACAAGAGTGTTAATTTAGTACACAACACAGTGGAGCAGAACAAGGAACTTCATGCGAATGCGGTGGCGGCTTACCCCGATTTCCCAGTTGCCAAAGGGTCAACTGGAAAACGCTTGAACCTCTCAAAACTGCAGCTGAACGAATCTAGAACCCTGGAGTTATTTATTTCAAATCGAAGGAGGACTGTGTATGATCTTTTCAATTATCTGGCGTCAGAATGACCTCGCCCATCGCTTGGGGAGCATATTTGAGAATGGTATTTTACTGGCTAAAGGTGCTATGGTGTTGCTGGGAGTTTTCTACTCCTCACTGGCCATCCTGTGTCCATGTGGTTGGGTGGTCGGTGGTTTTGGTTTGTATTTGGTGAGAGGTGCGATGGGAGAAAGAGCTCATATTAGTGCCCGGAAAGAATATACAGAAAATGAAACAGCGTGGCCAAGCGAGGTGAAAGTGCAATGATCTCGGATGCTAGCGAAAGCCGGAAAGCAAAGCCATAATTTCCACTTCTGACGCCGATTCAGAGGAATGAGTAAATCAAAAATTGCTCTTGGTAAATATCAAACTGCATTTGGCGGACTCAAGGCTTTTACAAAAGAATAAATATTCAGATAGTTGGGTTGGACACAAAATAAGGGTTTAGTTAACTAGGTTCAGATCTCTCTCTGTGAGTACCGGAAATGACGTTCTGTGTTCGGGGTGGTGTGCGTGCGTTTTTGTGTGTTGTGTGTGTGTGTGTGGAAAGAGAAAAATAAAACGAAATCAATAAATTAGTATTGGGTATTGGCTAGGTATGTAGCTCCCTAAGAAGTCAGAACCGGGAAGGTGTACCCAAAGCTGGCGGGGTCGGAGGCACTTACAGTTCCATGGAGAGCACCGTGGGATTGGGACATGCTTGGGGCGCCCGTATGTGACACTGCTTGTGACAGATCAGCTGGCAGTCGCGGCACTCGTAGCCCTGCTTTCCGGGCCTCCGCGGGATGGACTTCATGCAAATGGAGCACTGCAGGCCGCTTCTGGAATGCCAAGGAAAAACATATATGTATTCTTTAAATATTATAAAATATATTTTTATTTGCAATAGGAAAGAAGTCATATAGAAAACCCTTACTGACTTTCAAAACACTAATAAGTACAGAACAACATATTCTAAACATTTGAAGAATAAATAAATAACTTCACTTATGGCTCTGACTCTATTTTATAATTATAAAAAGTTTAAAACTACGTTAATTTAAATATAACAAAATCAATCTGGGCCCATCTAGAATTATGTCATCTCGACCATAAAAGCTATCATTATTTTAATAACTCTTCTTCAGCACGGTTAATACCGTGCACAGTGATAAACTAGTTATACAAAAATTACAGACTAACATTTGTGTCCAAATTTTAGAAATGAATAATAATTTAACGATGTCGTACTAAAGCACAAAACAAATTATAAAATAATTTTAGTAAAACATAACCAACTCATCATTCTGCTTAAATTACCCAAAAAATTTGATATCAGTAAATAAACATGTTATTAAATACGTTTAACGATTTAAATATATATTTAGAGTCAGCAACAACATCGTAACAGGTATTAGTTTTGTAAACTTTACTATCATCTTAAATAAATAAATAAAATATTCATAAGTTCCATTTTATAACTTTTATGAATATATTTAGGACGAGTGGCGGGGTTCAAACGTCATTTTAGACAAAAAGTTTGTTCGGCAGTATTGCTTACAAACCTTTAAGTATACCGCCCTAACATACAACCTTTCTATTAACTTGAAAACTTACCCGCTCAAATGCTTGGCGATGAAGGTGTGATCGTTGTAGATGTGCAACTTGGTGCCCTTGCGACGCCAGCGCGGTCTCTGGGCGATGGCCAAAGGCACAATGAAGTGGCTGATGGGAATCAAACAAATAGGTGTCATAAGATCTAAACTATTTAGATACAGTATCGAAACTCACCGCTTTACGCCATTCTCGATGGTCTCCAGCACCAGGGTGGAGGCCTCGTGCACATAGGTTTTATTGCTGGCCGAGGAAAAGCCTGAGATGGCCGAGGATTCTGAAATTGAGGAGCGGCGTGAGTGGTCGGTGATGGAGTGACCAATGCCCATGCGGGGTCCTGCGTTTTATTTATTTTTAGTGTGTGTTTTTACATGGCAAGTTGAGAGTGGCACACAAACCAAGCACCCGTTAAGACCCATCAAATCATATTTTGCATATATGAAAATAAACAGAAGAAAAGTATACGGAAAGAGTATGAGAAATAATTAAAAACCAAGTCGAATAAATGATTAATGAACAGGCCATTTGTGAACCGATGGCGAGCAGATCCAAAATTCAAATACCAAAATCCAAGGAAAAATTAAATATTTACAAAATATTTCAAAGTATTCAACCGTGTTTGTGTTTTGGTTGGAATAAGTGTTTGGTGTGCGTGTGTAGGAACCATGGAATACATACAGATTCGTGTTGTGGATCACAGTTCAGTTAGCATTTGATGGGAATAGTGTGAGGGGAGAGAAGATAAAACAGACACCAGATATAGTTACAGATACAGATAGTATTACCATATAGTAAGAATCAAGCTTTGAATACAACAACACTTATAGAACGTAAATGTAAAGGGAGAAAAGCAATTTACACTTAATATTAAAGTTATTTATGAAATGTGATGCATGGAAAATAATAATTTTAATTCAATTTTAGAGCCAAAAGTATAAAGCTTAAATAAAAAAATTTTTTTTTTGATCAATTAATCTTACAATAATATAGTAAATGCATTTGTCAAATAATTCCGATAATACTTGGAGATGAACATTAAGATTGTTTTAACAATCTTGTTGATTGCAATTTCCCATATGGTAATCAAAGTTAATTAAATGTTAAAAATATTAATATAAAAGATAATAAAGGGGTGCAGGAAGCAATTAACAGTTGCGATAAACGAGTAAAATGCCGTGATCTCGAATGAGATATCAAATGTGATGAATGTCCCGTCGCAGAGTTATTAGCGGAATGCAGGAGTAGTCCAAAATATGTGCGTTAAGCCGGGCTCAAATAGTTAAAACGTGGACACTGGCGGAGGATTGTGGTTGGGTGGTAATTACCAAGTGAATTGCTTTTGGACAGAGTGGCACGATCGACAGATAATGAACGGGAAGAATCACCATTGAGGGTTCCGGTGGCTGTTCGAGGGAATCCGGTGGCTGTTGCGGTATTCGAGTTGGTGGCTGATAGTGACTTATGACTGTTATTATTGGGCTGATCGGCCGAGAGGGTGCGTGTCTTGGAGCGGCTGAGCCGCTTCTTCAGGGTGCCAAAGAAATTACGTTTTTTGCTGCGCCCGCGATCGTCGACCACATCGTGGCCCTCGATCAATCCGGAGTGCTGGGCCAGCTGCTGGGCTCCTCCGTTCCGGGGCAGGCTGTTGTACCCGCCCGATCCGGCTCCATTGGTGTTGCCATTGCCGTTGAGGCTGTAGTTGTTGTGGTAGCCACTGCCATTGGGCGATGATGCTGCGTTGGGTTGGCCAAGCTGCAAGAAATATTCGGGACACATTAAAAGGGGATCTAAGCCAGCTCTTAACTCAAAATGCATGCCATGCCGGTGAACTCCTTGAACTCAGTGTACTTACCTCGGCGGTGCTTTCCTCGTTGACGGTGCCGTTACCTGAATCGTTGAGGGTCTCGCCCAACTGGCTGGCCTTCTCCTCCTTGGCCTGCTCCAACTCGAGCTCACTCTTGGCCTCGTTGGCTGCCCGCTCGAAGGCCTGGGCCACTGCCTGATCCAGTTCTGTCGCCGTCTCGGTCACCTCGATTTGGCCCTCTTTGTTCACCTCGACCTGATCGGTTCGAGGATTTGGTTAAGGAAGCGCATTTGGGGGGTTAGGCAGAGCAAACAGAACAAGAAACATTTGGATATTAGCTTGGCTTAAATACTAGTTAGCCTACATGACTTTTTAACCATCATGAGGGCGGGATTAGAGACGCAGTAACTCAGATAACTCAAAAGAACAAGTGAAGAAATTATGACCAGGTCCGGGAGTTTACCTTAAATGCATTCGGGCTGCTCGAGTTCTGGGCGGGATCAGAGACGGGAATGGAATGAAATAAAGGTAGAGAGAAACGAAACGAAATTATAAAACAATAGAACGGGGAAAAGAGGATACGAAATGTATGAAACCTCTAAGGACATTGAATAGCACGGTTGTTGTTTTTGATAAGGATTGATTAAAGGGTGTAACAAAAATCTCTGACGATTTGATTAGAAGAGATTTCTGCTGCACCTTGTATACTGATCTATTTCTCCAAACAACCGTGCCAGAATCTTCCGCAAAACACTCACTCGCTGAACGCTGTGGATGATCAAGGTGCTCTTGCTGGGTTGTACACCACTTCCGCCCGAGAGCGCTCCATCCTGCAGGGCTCGTACGGCTGCATCCGCCAGATCCGCTCCATTCCGGATGTGTTCGTTAATGGCCGGCGTGCTTAGACGCAGCGCCTCCTTCAGGCGCTGGGGACGCACTCCCACTGGGATTTCGGCTCCCTCGATGAACACAAAGTCCACGGTGATGGCTCCCGAAACGGGCTGCGTCTCATAGGGTCGTGGCTGCAGCTGCAGCAGCTGAGTGGAAGCCGGTCCCACGGCCAGCTCATCGATTCCAACCAGGCCGAGACCCAGGAACTTGGGCGGATCAGAGGCAATCACCGGATGGTCATACACCTCGAACAGGATCTCGGCTGATTGAGGGGAGAGTTCGCTATGGGGAGAAATAGAAGAGGAAATCATTAGTTTGTGTGCAGAGTAGAATCATGAAATCGCTGATATTACAATAACAATCAAAATACCAAAGCATAACGATAAAACTGGACTTGGAATTTAAATAACTCGAACTAAAAAGACTAAATAGACACCCATCGATGGTGACATGTTAATCTTTTTTGCTCATCGAGATCCACTAATATTACAAATTCTAATAATATCTATTTGAAGACAGATACATAATGCTTAGCACTGTAGTTCCCTGATTGTAACTAAAACCGCAAAATGATTGGCAAGTAATGTCCCATATTCCGCGGACCTGTGTATCACTTACAAGAGAAAGTGCTCATCCCAGAAGGGCTTGGTGCCGCGCTGAGTGCCCGTCTGGTTCTTCTGGGCCGGCTCGTCCATCTCGATGACCACATAGGGATTCTGGGCTTCCCTTATTCCCTCGCCCTTCACGATCTTCACGAGCAGTCGTCGTCCGGAAACCATGTGCTGCGAGTCCCTCAATCCCACGCCGCCCAGGTGGTGCTCCATGTTGTGCTGTGTGGGATGTAGGAGGACAACATGCAATGAGTGAGTGCAGCGAGAGACACAGAATAGAAAGAACAGATCAGGGGAATAGGGTCTGAGGTCTGAGAGTGAACAAAAGTCGGGTTTTAGGGCTCATGAAATTCGCCTTTAATCAGGAACTAATGCGTGATAGACACTAGAAATTGTAATAATATTGAAAGTATTGGTTGCCCTGAAAAGAGAGAGCGCAAAAGAGAGTTCTTTTTACTTTCGAAGATCATAAGGGGGAACAATACGAATTCTCAACGGAGACACGGGAAATGAGGTGTAGAATTCTGAACTGAGAGTTGGAGAAAAGGCGAATTCCATAAACACAGAGGTGGGCGAGAGCAATGAGAAGTGTCTGTTTGTTTTTTGGGTGAAAACACTGTACAGAGGTCTCGAATCGAGTTCTGTGTGCGATGACGAGTGTACGAGGACACAGGAATACGGAGAACAAGAAACAAAACACAGCCATGGATGCAGGAGCTGGCATCTTCTCACTGCTCCCGACGCTCACCGCCAGCGAGTCATAGTGAACGGGATAGATTACGGGCAGGTCCAGGGGCTCCACCTCGGCCCGCGGGCAGGTGGAGTAGATGGAGAAGTCCACCGGGTAGACGGTGTCGCGCAGGGCCGTCGTCAGGATGTCGCTGATCACCGTCTGCAGCTGCTGCTCGTCCTGGTCCATCGCCTTGATGGCACCCACGCTGTTCATCGCGATGCGGACCTATACAAATAGAAATATAAATTCGTTAATATCGGTTAAAATATTGGTGCTTCGATAGTCCTTTCAAAATTTAAATAAATTAAAAACGTTAAGTATAAGCATACAATTTTGGATTACTGAACCATTTGCAATTTAAAGTACTTAAAATAATTCTTGGAAATTACTATTAAGTTCATTTCAGTTCATTATGCGCCAGATAAACTCTCGAAAAGTTTAAAAAAGTGTTTTTATAGAGGAACCAAAAATAAGAACCCGCATTAGTCATTATTGATATCGTGATCCACATATTTTTTATAAAAAAGCTAGGATATAATTATAAGTTTGTAAAGTTTAGAAACCTTAATTAATAAACTACGCAAGATAACATAAAAAAGTTTATATTCATTAAAATTGAAAATGTGTATAAAAAAATGGAAAACCTGATCAGACCATTCTTTGAAAAATAATTGAAGGTTTTCTTTTAAGCATTGTAAAGTAAATTATAATTGATAAATGACTTGTTAAAAATGTCTTGTTCTTAAAAAGTTTCCCATGTATATGCTAGTATGCTTTAATATTTTGCGTTAAATCAGTTACTCACATCCGGATAGCCCTCGACTCGCATCTCACCCTTGAGGGTGTTGTAGTTCATGGGAATGGCCATGCGGGCTCGGAACCTAGACACGGTGACCTTATAGTGGGAGGTCTCCACCTTGCCTGCCTTTTGACGGAAAGTCTTCACCTGCAGCACCGGCATGGCATCGCAGTCAAAGGTGATAAGCTGTAATATTGGGTTTTCAAGTTATTAAAGCTCCAACTGACAACCACTTGAGTTCTTACCATATCAGCGGGATTGTTCTCATCGCAATTACAAAATATATTATTCAAGCCGGGGGCAGGACTGTCGGGGAGTACTCGAACCACTTCAACGGCCACTCCATGCTGCAAAAGAGAACGAATATATTGATAATATCTTAACAAAAACAACTTGTTGCCCAAAGCCGAACAGCTGGGCTCCTTTCCAACTCTGGATATATTATTCGCGCATTACGTAATTCAGCAGTGTGCGTTTTTTGGGGCTATAACTCAGAGACGGGATAATGACTAACGACTAAATTCCGACCTTGGCCTACGACTGGCTCCGATCACGTAAAAGGCGATAAAAAAGTAAATCAGAGGAAAACAACCGAGGTTTAAATTCGGTATTCCGGTTTTTGGATACCCTCTAGAATAATGTAGTTATCATACTTTCTCAAGTCGTAACGAGCTGTAAAGGAGTTACCTTTAAGATCAACATAAATTATAATCTTTTTCAAACTACCATTGCGTTAAAGTATAAGTCAACTAAAGTAAATAATATATGATGCAAGATAGTTACTCAGAGCTCATTATTAAGCGTAAAGATATAATAAAATAAAAAAAGGTATTAGCTCTTATCTGTAAAATATTTCTCTGCATATGTTTAAGATAATCTCTCTTATACCCACAAATAAACTCTCCGATTTATTGACTACAGGGTATAAAAAACTGAAAACAAAACGCGTTTCCAAATCAGTTACGCCTGAGCGAGTTCCCAGTTCGCTGGAGAAGGGGAAAGAGCTGGAGCCCAAGCAGCTGAACATCGATTTCAAGTTGAATGTCGTGGCGGGCCAAGAACAAAGGTTAATGCCCGGCCAATAAAGACCAAGTCGGGCTCAGCCATGACATCAGAGCCCGGGCCGTGAATGATGTCAAAGCTGCGAGCTGTCTGATGTCATTTGACCATCCTCCGAATGAGACTCACCTCCTCCACGGACTTTCGCAGCGTGTCGTTGATGGCAATCACCCAGGACATGAGCAGCTCGTTGACGATGACCAGGTCGCTATAAAGCCAGCGGAACACTTGGCTGGTCCAGGTGACGGAGCTCTGGAAGATTACGATTGTTAATAGGAACAAAAAGAACATATTAATATTTATACTTTCTTAAGAGGCTGATAAAGTAAAATATATTATTTATTTAAGTGGGTAGAAGAAAATATTTAATTCTTTATCTAAGCTACATACAACATATCTTTGATGTATAAGGTAAATGCAAATATTGTTAAAACAGATTGTGTTTTGATCTTAAAGCTCTATATTTATTTAAATTTAAAAATTAAGGCATTATAATATTAATAAGTTAACTATTAAAAAATGAAATAATTATTGTTGTCATAAATTTACCAACATAGGTGTGTCTTAGAGGCGAATTTATGGTTAAAAAGATAATAAGTAATATTTTTCGAATACCAGATATAGAAGGATTAGACGTCCTGCCTTTTAATCCGCGTGTTCCACTTTACTAGCAAATTGAGCTATATTTGGATACTTATATATGTGTTTACTCACCGTTTCTGGACCCACGACATTCGATGGCGGTGGGACATAACGCTTCTTGCGGTTCTCTGGTCCAGTGGAGCTCTGGCGCACCACCCGGCGACGTGGACCGCCGGCAGCTGCACCAGCGGAGTTCAAGGGCGAGGCGGACGAGCGTCCTCGACCTCCGGATCCACCGGTCAGGGGCTTGGACAAATCCTCTACCTTGCTTTTGGTGGCCAGCAGATCTCGCGGCTCCGAGAGGCGCTTCTCCGTCTTGCCGGCAACGGATGAGGGGGATCCGGATGTGGGGGCCACACTCGTCTGACGACTGTTGGCCGCACTGGACGACTTGTCCTTGTTGAGATACTTGTTGTACAGCAGTTTGATCAGCCACACGGAGAAGAGGGCCAGAACGGCCCACAGGAAAATGAAGATGGCCAGGGAGTCCATTGTTAAGTCACCAAGTCCCTCGAACGAACAGATATAGTCATCGATTTGATCTGCTAGATCCATCGTTCAGTTCCAGGGCGAGTTAATCCCACAGATCGTCGTCATCATCATTTCGTTCTGCGGGAATAGAGTCTTTTAGTGGGTGTTTCTCATCATCATCCCAGCGAGAGCATCTCCCAGAGATGGGTTAAGATGAGAGGAATTTGTGTATCGGGGCAGCCATGAAAGATCTAAATCCCCCTCTAGCTCCCAATCCTCATCGCATTCTATTTAAAGAACTTGTACAATTTTCTTTGGGAAAATATGAAAAGTTTGAAAAATCTTTCCACTCACAAAAGCACACAGTCCAGAGGAAGTTTGGGATATATAAATTCGGTTTGTATTTGCAGCTTAACTTGTTTATATTAGTTTAAATATATTTTTGGTATAAATAAATAACTAAAATAAAAATCGAAATCTTAGAAAACGGAACTAAACCGAACCGAACTGAAACAGAACTCAACTGAAATGGACTGCTCGCATTCGAATCGGATCGAATCGGATGGTATCTTATGGGATCTGCGCTCTCCGAGGCGAGAGAAATTCTCAGATGCCCAAGTATCTGTATCCGACAGTACGCTTTCGAGCGGAAGACACTGCGCCGGCGCCTGTAGCTCGTGTCAGAGATGAGATGTGAACACTTGTTTTCCATATCGTGACTCCAACTATTCCATTCTTCTGTCATCTATTGGCCCCTATTGGCATTGACGTCATAGTTTTTGGGGTCGCGACGAAGAAAGAAAAGAAATGACGTAAGGCTGTCTGCCGTGGAGGAGCCACACTTTTTACGACTTCATCTCATTGTTTATAATGTGTTTGTTCTGCTTTTATTTTTAGACCTCTCGTTGTTTGTTTCTTCCCGCTTCTGCTGGTTGTATTACACAGATTTATTAGAAACTATTCGAGAGAATTGGCATTCAACAAAACGACCGGGGGAAAATAGAAAATGTTTTCGTTCCGTTCCCCTTGGCACTTGTTGCAGTTAATACTTAAACATTGTGCGGTTCGTGCCCTCGTCCATTCATTGCTGAATTTTCGCGAAAATACGAAAATGCGAAAATCGTTTTCGGCGATACAAAAACAATAACAAAAGAGCTATTATGCTGGCATAATCTGTTTAATATCAATTGGAGCTGTGTTATTTTTCCTTTTTTTCTATCTGCACGCACGCCATTTAGGCACTGGAAAAAATAAATATATTGTTTTTGAGCTGATAAGGCATTATAAATTATTATTTTTCCTCAAACGATCTTGGTGATTCTTCTATTCTATAAGAATGAAATACAAAACAAGTATGTGGCTCATTAAAGTTATTAGCCCAGGAATCACAGACTTTTCTTTCTCTGCAACCGCTACATTCTTCGGCTTTCTGCGCCACTGATTTTCCACTTGCCTTTTCTGCTTTTCCACTCTCCAATTCAAGCAAGTACAAAACACTTTTCGAGCATTCTCAGCCACTGGCTCGTCTATTGACCCCTCGCCATTATGTGGGCACAAAGGGCGAGCGGAGGGGCGTGAAAATGGGGGGAGGGCGGTGCGAGTGAGAGGGCGATTACGAGAGCAACAAGTACTCGCGGGTATTTTTAACCATTGGCAAGCATACGATCTGTTGGGGAAAATGCCTTCTGCCACGCCTCTAATGGGGGGCAGCAGCCCCAGTACACATGTTCCCATCGCCCCTGATTGACAGAGATCTGCGATCTAACGGGCGTGTGGGAAAGTGTCCACGTCTTCGGGAAAAACTCCTCTATGGCACATCATAATATAAACTACTTTATAATTGGAAAGGCAGATGGTACACAAAGCCACTCATAAAGATAAATATCTTTATTTCATACATTGTTTGAAAAAAACTCACCGAAGTTAAATTTAATTAAATATATTTTCATATCTGATGAAACCTAACAAGAGGGATTTTTTAGATTAATTAAATATAGACGCGATAAAAATAACAACTTATTAAAAAAATGTATATTTAACTTAACAGTTACACAGAAAAAAGTTTCTAACAATTTTATATTAATCAAGATAATTTTTCGAAAATACTGAATTTTGAAACATAAGTTTATTTTATGTTTTGAATTACCATCACAGTAACTCAATTTTCCAAAGGTATACGAAACTTAATAACATAGACTTATTCAGCATACTTTCAAGTTTTAATTAGCTCTATGGTTTATTTTATGTTTTAAATTATCATCACCGTAAATCAATTTTCCAAAAGTGAAAGAAACTTTATTGCGTAGACTAAATCAGCATACATTCAAAAATTTATATTTAACTTAACAGTTACACAGAAAAAAGTTTCTAACAATTTTATATTAATCAAGATAATTTTTCGAAAATACTGAATTTTTAAACTTAAGTTTATTTTATGTTTTGAATTACCATCACAGTAACTCAATTTTCCAAAGGTATACGAAACTTAATAACATAGACTTATTCAGCATACTTTCAAGTTTTAATTAGCTCTATGGTTTATTTTATGTTTTAAATTATCATCACAGTAAATCAATTTTCCAAAAGTGAAAGAAACTTTATTGCGTAGACTAAATCAGCATACTTTCAAAAATTTATATTTAACTTAACAGTTACACAGAAAAAAGTTTCTAACAATTTTATATTAATCAAGATAATTTTTCGAAAATACTGAATTTTTAAACTTAAGTTTATTTTATGTTTTGAATTACCATTACAGTAACTCAATTTTCCAAAGGTATACGAAACTTAATAACATAGACTTATTCAGCGTACTTTCAAGTTTCAATAAGCTCTATGGTTTATTTTATGTTTTAAATTATCACCACAGTAACTCAATTTTCCAAAAGTGAAATAAACTTTATTACACAGACTAAATCAGCATACTTTCAAGTTTTAATTAGCTCTATAATAATTCATCTCTCTGTTATTACTAGAGATTTTAGTGTCGCATAACAAATCCCTAATTAAGTCTTGTTTAAGCTTTTAATTCCAACTAAATGCATTTTCCACCGTGTACTTGAAAGTTCTTCAAAATTCATGTGGTAATAGTTCATATTCCCAGAAGAGCCGCTGGGCCCGGCTAATTAATGCCAAACTGTGCGGCTCATGCAAACTATTGGCCAACTGGCTTGGGCCGGCCTGCTTCCCAAGCTCGAATTTAATGAGCTTGGGCAACGGCAACAGGTTGCCAGTACTTCCGTTTTAATTGCCACCTCCAAAGGGGTCAGAGGTTTCGGGTTGAATGCCCCCGCCTCTTGAGAAGAAACCCTCGAGAAATTGCGTCACCTTTCCGGCATTCTGTGTGACTCTTTTTAAGGTCTAAGTACTCTCGGCCTCTCGGTATTCCATGTGCAAACACTTTGAGATGCACGCAAAGTGCGCATTGCTAATCACATTCAAATGCGAATAAATATTGAAAATGATTTCCGTTACCACGCCAGAGCTAAAAATAGTGATTGAGTAATCCAATCCAAGCTGATTCAATACGATCGTAAGCCGACGATCGCAAAAAATCAACAAACCACAGGCTTGAAGGTCGCCAAAAAATATGATTCTATTCGAAAAGTGGGCGAGCCAGGGAACTCACACTTGAGTCACCTTATCTTATCACAGACTTTGCATTTATCGCATTTAATTGCTATTAATGAATGGGTATTATGACTCGATATGGATCTTGGCACCTGGCCGCATAAACTAGGAATAAAAAACAGCAACAGGCTATCTTCCTCCCTTAATGGGTCAATAAAAAATGTCAAATGACGACACCGCCAACAGTTCCAAATACTCAAACATGATGTCATTTCAGTGAGTACTCTTTGCTATATGTTTTATTCAAATTGATAAGGCGCTGGTTCCGATTTGTGGCGCACACAATAAATTATAATTCATAAATAGGGATTCCACTTGATGATTGCAGCAGCCTGATTAGCAGTATCATTTATTTCGGATACTTGAATATTTTTCAATGGTTGGGATTCGAATACTTTTAAGGCCTTGCAAATTAGCTGATCTTGAAACGAATATTAAAACTAACCTTCGTTTCGGATACCGGATAAAACATACATTTTTTTTAGCTTCATAGATTGATTTTACGGATACCGGTTATTAAGGGGCTACACCCATTTATTTAAGTGCACTGGTGCCGGCCAGAGAGCTCTAATCAGTGTTTCATGCATGGAGAGTCTCAAATGAAATTGCAATTGAATTTAGACCGATTAATCTATCACCCTGTAGCTCCGATATCAACGACTGAACTTCGTCTTGCTTGCCATTTCCAAGTGTCAAGGTTGGGCTATTTTTGGAAATGCGAAAGGAAATAACAAACGAGCGCAGACTGGGCGTATGCTAGATTTGCAGCTGTCATTAAGCATACGCAGGTTGATCCCAAGTTTCGACAACACGCAACTGCGACCACGTCAGAGGTCAAAGGGGAAAGGGGCAGTTGAGTGTTTTACTTTTGTGCGGGCCAAAGTTCAGCTGAAAACAACGGGGGAAAGGCAGTAAATTTTTAATAACAATTTTACACAACTCTCTGAGACAGACAACGTGTCGGACAGTTCGGAACCTTTCGACTCTGCCCTGTTCAAAAACTCGTTTATCGATTGAAACTGGTCCCGAGAACCCATCGATTGGCGCTCTATGAAAACGGGGTCTAGGCAGCCGAAACCGTTACGCATCCCGTCCAAGAAAAGTTCCTGCGCCCTGCTTATTGATTTTTCCCTGGGCTTGCACTCCTTATCCCACGGATTGGCCTGCAAGTAGACTCGGCGGTCAGTTTGCTCGGCCTCCGTTTACCATCGTTTGGCTGAAAGGTATTTGAACCCCGGGCCAATTGTTTTGACCACGCACGAGGACTCGTTTAAGGGCCAGGGTTGCCAGGACAACCCTAAATAATTTAGAGCCCCGCATTGATTTGTCAACGAGTTGTGTGCAAAACAAATCTCACAAAAATCGTAAAAAGTGTTCACAACACATTGTTTGTTTACACGAATCATATTTTCCCTTTCTCATGGAAGCTTATTTCCGGTGGAAAAGCTTTGACCGGCAAAGGATGCGCTATAAGAGAGCACATTTTCGAGGCAAAGAGTAAAAAATGAGAGTGGTGGCACTGGGGGGTTGAAAAAAAACAAACAAACAAAAAATGGTATGGTAAATGTCTTGAAATCGTTTTAAAGATAACGTTTCGCTATATTCTGCAAAGAAATAATAAATGTGAGAGAATGTAGCACTAAAACAAAGAAACGATTTAAATGCCTTGATAGGAAAAGTATACGTTATACCGCTATTATTATTGTTTTTGAATTATAATATTAATCGTGTATACAAAAAGCCATAATTTTCTATATCATATAATAATAAAAAAATTTTCTTTATAGAGGCGTTTAAATGTTTTTTCCTGTGTACTGGTTTACTTTTTCTAGTTTTCCTAGCTTTCGCGTCGTTAACAGCCTGTGACACAGTTTCCACTTTTCGGGGTGGCTTCAAAAACTGGAGAGAGATACGAAACTAGAACCGAGGGTTGGCGATGCAAAGCACGCTATTTTTCCCTCTATCGCGCGGAGGATCGCCGGAACGTCTTCATAGACCCATTAGAAACACACCCAAAATTAAAGCCAAGCCCATAATTGAGCAAGCCCTAAGCTCAGTAAGGGATGTGGGTTAAATAAGGCGGTTTTCAGGGGAAGTGGTTGCTTCACTTACCGTTTCATACAACGCAATTCGTGGATATAAATATCGTTGTTTAATCCGCAGGATGAGTGGAGTAATTTTTGTGGTTCGTGGAAATAAAAATGTATTGCATTATTTAGTGGGAATTCACAACCGTAACCACAATTTGCCCGTGTTATTTTCGTAGCCCTGTTTTTGTAACTTTTCGGCCGAAATGTACTTAGTTTTCAGGTGTTAGGGAAAATGTAAAAAAGAAAATGCCCCGTGATTGATTAGTGACAAGAAGCGTATATAAACCTTGGGATATTTTTGGGTATTCATGTGCGTGTTGTTTGTTGGGCACGTGAGTTAGGTGGCCAAAAAGAGTTTCAATAAATTCCAGAGCCAGAAATTTGGGGCCAACAATTTCTCTGTGCGAAATGCAAATCAATAAGGGAGTGGGATGGGAAGGGGGTGGTGACGGGCGGAAAAGCTTGGCACACATAGTAAACAAATTGTATTTTCTCTGAATATATTTTTTTATATTCTCTACTCACACGGTT